ATTTTAAAAATAAATACGTAAAAATCTTGCTTCCACTCTGCCGAGAGGTGTCAACCTAGGGAAAAAAACCCCAACTGATGACAAATCACTTGGGTTTCGATCCTGGCTTGAGGTAATCGGATGTCTAGCCACACTGATGAGCTGTGATAGAGCGAAATTGTCTGTGGATGATACACACAGATAATATATATATATATATATATATATATATATATATATATATATATGTTATTTAATGAAAAACAGACCACTTTAAGGTACCATTACGATAATTTATTTCACCAAAATCCTTCTTGAAGGATTTCGGATCATCAGGTAACACTTCCAACAATGAAATAAGAGGAAAAATGTGATTAGAAATTGATGGGTAGTGTACTTTTTGTAATTAAACAAGGAGGGTGAAGGTGGCGGTTAAAGAGACAATATAAATTATAGGGAGGGTTAAGTTTACATCTATCTTAAATAAGCTTTAAATTGGGGTTCGATAATTTATTTCACAATATATATATATATATATATATATATATATATATATATATATATGAGTGTGTGTGTGTTTATAGATAATTAGAGCAATAAAAGTCAATATTCACCTTATTATTGGCTATATATATATATATATATATATATATATATATATATATATATATATTTCAATAAAGGTGCAATTAATTTACAAATTCATGAATTATTCATACAAAAAACAAATACAAAGGTTAATGATTTAATTGGCGAGAAATCCATCGTCGCGAACAATTCAAATAATATACAAAAACCCCGAACCTGTTTATGAATGAAAAGATCCTTGTTTTTATAAATTTCTGTTGCATAAGTTCTTATTATTTTTACAAGCTTTCGTCTGTTACTACAGGCATCCTCAGGTATGGAATAGATTTTGTTCTTGTTTTTACTCTCAGTAATAAGAGGACAAAGAAAATATATGTATTGTTGTAATCCGAAAAATTCTATTAGAAATGAGTTATTGTTTTTGGAGCGTGCAGTCGCAACGCTGAGTTTGAATTTAAATTTTACAATTGTGCGTTCTTGTACAAATATGGTGATAAGTGAATTCTTTTTTACTGGTAAATTTTCTGTCAAAGTGGCATGAACTATATTGTTCAATAATTACAGTAATGTTGCACTTATTATCCAAATATATATATATGCTGTATTTAGGAATAAAACTGCACAATATTAGAGATAGTGTACATATAAATATGGTCTGAAGATTGATGTCTCTATATACACACACATATGTGTACACTGGACTTGACAGCGAGTGGCAACAGTTTCATGCTTAAATATAATTTTCCTGCCATATATATGAATATATAAAACTTCTGGACTTAGTCATCTTCGTAGATCTATCAGATCCTTGCTGGACGTATAATTTCCCTTTCGCCTGAAACTGATTGTCAGCCCTTGGTGTCTCCATACACACACACACATATACAATAGAAATTTGGAAGATTTAAATAATTTCACATAATTCATTTCTGCATTCTGTTGAGATTCCTTGAATTATGAGAAATTATCTAAATCTCCAAAGTTACTGGTACTTATAAACCAATGCTTGATCCAGGTTTAATACTCTGGAGGGAGCGGCTTGGTGAAAAACGACGTTGCTGTTAGGGCCAGTTCCAGTGGGTTATGTATACTTGGATGAGTATCAAGACTAGAATTAGGAGTAGCTGCACTATACTGAGTCGAGTTCATTTCCACTTCGTCACTGAAGACTGCGTGGTATGACGCTTGCCTTGGATCGGTCCGGGTTCGATTCTCGGTAGTGGATGCTCACTGTTGATGAGTCCCAAAAGAGACGTAACGGACATCCAGTGCTTTCTGTTGAGGATTTTTCTTCTAGCCTCGATGAATTTATATTATATATATATATATATATATATATATATATATATACACTTTGGACCTGTTTATGTTGACATATCAGTTATTGTTTATATTTTTTAACACTGAAATATCTACAGTCTAATCCTTTACGAAAAATGATCCTTTATTTCTCTCCCATCCAGAGGCACAATAAATACTCTCTGTCTACTAAAAGTGTGATGTCTACTCATATACGTAAATCCAATAAATATAACGTTTATCGATTTTTATTTCCCCGGTATCATTATGAATAATATTGTAACTAATTGCTAATTGATTTTTATTTCTATTTGTTGATGTTCGAATTACTACGATGAGGATTTATCTTTTATATTTTTAAATGAACTAATTTCTTCATATTTTCTGCAATATCGTCAACTAAAAAAAACTGAAGTAATTAAGATTAACATGAACAGTCTTAGAGAAATAGGAACCAATATTGAACCAGTATTGTATAAGTGAAGAAGATATGGAAATATGCTTTTAAGGAACATCAATTACATTATAATGGACATTATAAAGAAAAATATTTTCTGTCAGAATTTTTTGAATGAGGAGATATCATTATTTATATTTGGACACAATATTTCAGGCATTGTATCCTTCGACATTTTTCATTTCTTTGTCAATCACCTGATGACAGCCTGGGGGGATGACGGCCGAAATGGTGTGATAACAATCAGAAATCAAATACTGCAAATTATTTATTTTTTCTCAAGGTTTACGCATGCCACATATGTCAGTACTAAAGAAATGTGAACTATGAATAGTTTTGTCCATAAATTTGATTAAATATATATATATATATATATATATATATATATATATATATATATATATATATATATATATATATATATATACACTATAATAGGCCGGGAAATTACCGTACCAAAGAAGGATATATTAAAAAAATGTGCTCAATTCACCGTTCAGATAAGTGTATTTGCAGATCAGGTTAATACTAGATAAAAATGACTATTTTACTTTCGGTACTACCCGGGTATTACAGAAGGTCAAATAAATTTGCTTTTGATTGCGAATTCATGAGTATCATTTAATTTACACAATGTTGGATATTTTAAGATTTTCTCCACTTTTACTCAGATTCAATATTGCTACTGCATGTCGAGAAGCATGGTTTAAATAATTAAGAATCATTTGGGAAATGACCAGTTTTTACTTTTATAAAAGAACATTGCTGAAAAAAATGCACATAGGTCAATTTATATACTTTATGCTTAATCTAGGTAAAATGGCGCGGGACTTGCCAAGCGACTTGACACGACGCGCGGGACTTGCCAAGCGACTTGACACGACGCGCGACTTGCCAAGCGATCACTAAAGCTTATAATCATAAGGCAGATGGGCAAGCCAGTGTATATCATATTGCAAATTAAAAAAAGAGAGTGTAAATGGCTCGTTAAAGCCTAAATAATGCAGTACAAGTCTTCAAAATTTGAAAACTGTTGAATTAGAAGAACTTTTAAACAGACATCCAGCTCAAACTGACATCAATATGTTGAAATATTAGCGATTAATCAGCCATATCTCGCATATATATTTGTTTTTGTTCATTTTTTTTTCATCCCGTGCAGGGCAGTCAAGTTACTAAAACACAAGGGGTTACCGAGTGCGGAAGAATTAAGAACAGAAACATTAATAATGAGCAGGAATAGAAAATAGTAACCAGGAGGACAGTAGATAGCAATTTACACTGAATTAACATTTTTGCAGATTAAAGTTGGCTGGGAAGCATGTATCCACAAGCGAGTAAAAAAAAAGCTGTTAGTATAGAATTTACGTTTGCATCTAGCCAGCTCAATTGTAAATTGATTGGATCTCGACGCCAGTCTGGTACTGCGATGAAATTCAAAAAGTCTAGGTACCATAGCGAAGGCCTCATCTAAACAATTACCATTAAAATATAGAAAATACACAGAGAGGCAACCTTACAGCGGTGGGAAAGTGACTGAAGCCGAGCGGCCAGATCAGGTCCGATGATATTGCTGATTCTTATTTGGATTTTATCAAGGAACTCATAGCAGGGCACCAGACCAAAAGTGGCAGCAATATTCTAAGCATGGACGAATGGTAGAATTATAGATATGTATGATAGATTTTGGATAGAAAAATTGTCACGCAATGAACTAACAATGAATAAACTTTCTTAGCACCTGATCTAGCAATGGATTCAATATAGTCGTTCCACTTCATATCAGCTGAGAAGGCGCAATGATTCAATTTCTTGGAGGTTAGCATCAGTCATGTTGATGGTACACAAAGAGCGGTCTCTCAGATGATTAATGGAGAGAAGTTTACGTCCGGAGGTGTTAAAATTAGCAAGCCATATTTTGCCCCAGTTAACAACGGACTTTAGATCATTTGGACCTTGTCGGACTACTCAGCCTTATTATCGAGGCAGAAAAATGTGCTTCTTAGATAAGAAAGTCACAGGCAATATAAGAGTTTCATTAATCTCGTTTCTCGAATAAACGAGAAGGTATCAAATAAGTGGTGGAGTTTTTAGTTGCCCCCCCCCAAAAAAAAAAAAAAAACATTATAAATGAGTGGGGTTTCGAACAAAAATACGTTTGAAGGCGAATCGGAAAATTGTTTAACGGGGGGGGGGGAGCAAATGGACATTGATGTTGCATTTAGATTTTTGAAGATTATAGGTGGCAAGGAAGCAAAAAAATCAAAAGAGTTCCACAGGCGAGAAGTGCGAGAAAAGAAATCATCAGAATGTAACTTACGGTTACATTAAGCTAATAGTCAAACGAGGAGACTTAGTAGTCAATTTAGTAGCATACATAAATACATATTCATACTATCACTAAATCACAATATTTGGTTTTATGGCTTATCAACTTTTTATAGGTTACTTATAACCAGAAATATTTTTTAAATTTAAAGAATTTTTAGGAGATTATAATAAGTTTATTGACGCATGTTCTACTAATTACTCCATGGAGGGAAGAAGAGGTGAATTCATGCCTTTCTCAAGAATATTTTCGCGTGTGTGAATATAACGGACTCGGCCGAAATTGGAACTCGGCTCTCTGATTTCTAATTCCGAGCCTTTAACCATTACACCACCCGCATACCCAAACTTACAGTACCTGGTATTCTCAAGCGGTTACCCATCTAGGTACTGATCAAGCTCAAGGTTGCTTAAATTCGGTGATCGTACGAGACACTGTTTTTGTGATTGAACTTACGGCCATTTCAAGTTCAAATACCAAGTCTGTTCGCTTTTGAACTGCTGAAACTCACAGCAAATGAGCGTATATGACTTCGGTTGGGGTAAAAATCAGTGTTTCAGGCGGGAATTGAAGGATAGCTAGATTTTGCTTGAATATTTCGAGCATAAAGCACGAAATTTCCGGGAAAGGAATGCAAAAGTAATTTTTTCTTTCTTGAGAAGAATCAGAGCAGGATCAAGTCAAGTTATTTTTTTTCTTCTTCACGTCATCTATTCACTATTGCTGTTTCGTATGTTGGTTTTCGAAGCTTAGTTTGATGTGGCACAAGGCCGAACGTATGGGGTACCCAACGAGGATCGAACTCAGTCAGTTATGTGCCATGCATGATATACGCTTAGGCGATCATGTATCTTTCGATACATGACTGACGAGGTAGATTTTTTCGCGCAGTAGGTTGCCATTTCTTTCTGACCAATTGCCATCCAAGGCTATAGAACCCGGTCTGTCCTGCTATTTATCCATAGTTTGGGCGGGGAGAAGAAGAGGGCTCATACTTTTCCCAAGGGTATTACCACGTAAGTGAATGCAATGGATTCGACTGGAATTCGAACTCGGTTCTTCGATTTCTCAATCCGAGCCGCTATCCATTACTCCAACGTAATTGATCTCGCAAAACAAGATTCCAAACCATCACGCCACGTTGAAGAGTTAATTTTGCTGTTTTGTATCATCTGCTTTTTTTCTTAACTGTCCTATGGTAAATATTATCCTTCAGTTGAAAATTGTAATATCAATGCAGGAAAAACGGATATATTTGAAAACGGAAAACACACCTAAAATTGAAGGAAGAGGAAGTAAAGACAAAAGAAAATATATAATTTAATTAAACATGAAATCGAATATTTATAAACAAATAAAAAAAGAGTATTAGAATTTTATGCAATACCAGTCCTCCTATATGCAGTTAATGCTGGACAATCCCAACACAGACGAAGAAGAGATTTTAAGCAACAGAAATCTGGTTCTAGAGAAGGATACTGAGAAGACCATAGACTGAACATGAGAGCAACGACGAAGTTTTAGAGAAAATGGAAACAAAAAGGACACCTACTAAACGTCAGCAAGAGACAGTTGAAATTTCTAGGGCACATAATGAGGAAAGAGGGTTTGGAAAATTTGATGCTCACATGACAGACTGAAGGCAATAAAAAGAGGAAAACAATGCATGACCTACTTAGCGAGCTTAAATGAATGGTGGAACGAAGTTTAGGAGAGATAAAAAAAAGGACAGGAAATTGTGGAGAGCCATGTTCGCCAATGCCCTGAAGGGACCCACCTCATTGAAGAATAAGAAAGTGAGATCGAACTTTGATGTTGTTATCAATGATTCATTGTTTCCTAGCAACATTTTTCAGTACAAAAACAACAAAAAATTTTTGTCAATAACGATATATATATATATATATATATATATATATATATATATATATATATATATATATGTGTGTGTGTGTGTGTGTGTCGACAGTGAATCATTGTACGGTTGGCAAGAACCTGGTAGGTCTACGAATGATGACGTAAGTCCCGAGAGTTTATTTATATATATATATATATCTATATATATAACTTCTGGAAAGTCTTTGTTGACTCTCTCTCTCACACACTTTATATATTAGAAAGGATTCAACATAACAGTAATTTTTCACGTAGACACACTTTCTTCACTATGATTACAAAGTTTATATACACACTTCCGTATGAATTTCTATCACTCAAAAACTTAACTACGTATACCTTTGTAAATCACTGATAGTTTAAATATATAAAATTCATATATCAAATTTGACTAAGTCCACCCATCTCCTGTTTTCATTATGTCTACTTTAGTACGCCTATAACGGTAGTAGAAGGTCTTATTTCGTTTATCTTTTCTTGACCTAGTAAATTACAGATCGACTACTACAGTAGAGGGATACTGTACTTCTTATCTCTTGTCGATTTTTCCTCTCTGCTGACTTCCAGTGATCTACTATTTACCAGTCGAAGACTATTTGTGAGCAGGATGTTCCTTGTTGTTATCAAGAAAATAGGAAAATATAATTCCGTAACACATTCTTTATAAGTTCAGCAATGCTTCTACTTTTCCATATAAAAGATTACCGCCCAAAAAATTCTCACACGTACATTCTAACAAGTGAACAATGTACAGAAATTCCATAATAAAAATAAAAGAGGAAACCTAAAAGATATCAAGCATCATTAACCACGAAAAGTGACATATTACAAAATAGATCATACGGCGGCTCCAAATTTAGTTAAGTAAAAGTGTTTCAGGCGGATTATATATAAGGGTGTTTCATTAAGACGGATCAAAGTTAGCAGTAAATAAATCAGTGGTATTAATGAACATTTATTTATGTTTCTATTGGATCATGTTATTAAAGTCATGGGAATTATGCGTGAAAAATAATATCGTCCACATGTCCGCCAAATCATTAGACGCTTAAACTTAATTCATATTTAAAATCGGTCCAAGTTATTGGAACATCCTTAATAACGACTTCTCTATTCATATTCTTGACAACTACTTTTGAAACTATTCTTGAAATGTTTTCTAGAATTTGAAGTAAAGGTTTTGTAACAAGAGCAGGTGTTATCACCAAACACATTTACGTTTACCGAATTACCTTCCTAATAATTGCTTATGTAAAGAAGCTGAACATTGTGTAGTTCTCAACTTCTCTGATGTACATTAAATTTAACATCTATAAATACATTACCTCGTTTCATTACGGGCATAAGATTACCAAAACCCAACGCTTAGTGGCACTCGACCTCTTTACAGTATTATCTGGAGACACTTCAATGAAACATTCGAGTTTAATCTAGCAAGCATCCACAAGAGTGATACACGCATTTAGAATTGGACTCTTTGAATTAATTATTAAGACGAGCCATACGCATGATATGGTTAAAATTGAAAATGGCGAATAATCTCAAGAATTGAAAAGTTGTCAGTGATTGAGTGTAGGATAAATTTTAAAATTTAACTTTTCAAATATGAATATTTATGCTGTGTTTAAACACTGACAACTTACACATATTTTGAATTCTTGAGATTATCCTTTATTTTTAAAGGCTCATTTTCAAGGCAGGAATTATTATTTACCATTTGGATAATTATGAAACTTCATACTCCACTTGTAATCTTAGACCCTATTAAACTCTGCTAAACATCAGTAAGTTTGTATACCTTTTTCTAGGATGGATGTTTTAACTTTATAGACACGCCTAAAGTTTATGTTAACCACTGTCTGGTTGTTTGAAAGAGATAAATGAGCTTAAACATTGCCTCGTCACCAATCCTTCATTTTATGCTAGGACTTCCGTTTGTAAAAAAAAAATAAAAAAATTACCTGGTTAAGCTCATCGCCCGCATTTTTTTTTTTTTTTAAATGAGATCTGTTATCGTGTTATCGTTTTAATAATTCAATGAGTTTAATTCTGAGTTTTCTTTTAAAAATAAAATAAAACTTTCATTAATACTGGATTCTATTTTATTTTTCATAATTCATACTTGACTCTACAGTGGGCATTAATATATCAAATAAATAAATAAACAGATGGAAAACTGAAAAGAAAAGTATTCTAGGAATTTGCGTTTTTATTCGCCATTAGTCATTCTTTGGTTAGGCGTGTTAAGAATGACCTCAGTTTTTTTTTTGCTACTGTAATTTCACTTTTCCACTTATGTTGTTGAGTCTTGTTTCTGTTAAGTATGGGAAGAGTTGGCGAAGAGGTAAAAGTACTAAACTTGTAACACAGTTGAAGTTGTTCAAGACCGAGTGACTAATTAGAAAATAACTGAATTTTGGAGGAGGATTTCACGGAAAACATTGTATTTCCAATTACGTTTTCAAAATTCAGTAAAATATAATTTATTTTATCTGCACCTTTATACAGTCACCAAATAAAGTCTGAATATCTACCGTCGCTTTTAAAGTAATGACCGATTTTTTCATGAACATTATTACCTTTAATCTATAAAAAAAGGCATGTTCAACAAAATTACAATATGAGGAAATCTTCACTGCCTACGAGTGACAGCAATTCATGGTGTCCCTCAGATGTCAGTTTCAGAGATGTGGGTTTAGTTTAAAACCAACGAAAATTCATGTTCAAATTTTCTATGGTAGCCAGCAAATTTGTCCGAACCGTAGAAAAACTAAATTTTAAAAAAAAATTCTTGAAGAACCAAACTAGCATAAATTAAAATCTGTTATCCGAATACAGCAAATATCCAAAATAACGGAGTCAGCAAATAAAATAATACACTATTCATGAAGAATCCTATTTTAAATAAACGCCACACAAGATATTTAACATTTAAACAGTGAAAAGTTTATTTGTATTATTATTGAAGAGCTAAATCTATTAAATAATGTTAAGATGACAAATGTTTTGTTATAACATGTAGACGTGATAGAATGTTATGTTAGATATTATAAATATTAAGTAGATGTTACATATAAATGTTAAGATTTAATCTGTTCTACTTTTAAATAAAAATATTCAACATTTAAACAAACAGTGAACTCTTTATTTATATTATTATTAATATACTATTTACTTTTGTACACTTTCTCAAGTCTGGTTTTAATTTTCTTTTTATATCACTAATATTAGGTTGTGTTATTAATTGTTTAGCCTATAGAATAACGATGTGGATGTAGGTAGAGAAGCAGGTATTTGCTTTCGTTTCTGCATTTCGAAATAGGTATGGAAGTTAACAGGTTGTGAGTTGTGTATTCAATATGTAAACAAATATAGAAAAAAATAAAAACTTGGGTTCTACTAAGGACGTTATTTCTTTTTAGGGCAACTGTAGTGGAATAAAGTTCTGAATCAAGCCGAGCTTCTCGACTTGACGGCCGAACTTTCTGCCTCTGAGCAGAAAGGAACCCGGACGAGGCTCCGCCGAAGGGCTGAGTATC